TATCTAAGCAAAATGTATAAATAAATAAATAAGAACAATTATTATTCGATTTGATTGAACTATTTAATTTTTATTTTGATAATCAAAACAAATTCGAAATCCAAAATGATAATTAAATTTTAGTTATAATCCAAATATCCAATCCAATCCAATGAAACCCAAATTGTTAATTTGGACAATTAAAATTTTATCCGATATGGTTTGGACAACATTGTTTTCCTAATTCCTATTCTCAACCCTAGCCTTTTTGTATAGTCAAGACTAGGGATGAGATTTAAAACCGGTAAATCAGAATCAAAACCTTTAGAATCAGAATATATACAACCGGTTCCGATTCTGGGTTTAAAGAATTATTTTATCCAGGTTCTGGGTAATTCAGGTTTGGGTCCGGGTAAATCGGATTTAAGAACCAGACCCGGTGTTACCGTGTTAGGAACTGGAACCACCTTTAGGGGTTGGGACTGATTTCTATGAAAATTTTAAAATATGTATATCTCATTCGTTTCAAGTCGAATTGACATTAGGTTTTTTCCAACATGTAGTTTAGAGTTTGTACATGATTTTAGAACATAATTATGTCATTTTTAATTTTATATTCATTGACTTACAGTCCCCCAAAATCGAGATATCAAAGTTGAAAGTTTTTAGTTTTTCAGTTTTTTTGCATTATGTGAAAATTTTATAACATGTATATCTAATTTGTTTGAAGTCGGATTGACATGCGATTTTTTTCCAACTTGTAGTTTAGAGTTTGTATATGAGTTTAGACTATAATGTTGTCATTTTTGGTTTAATATTTAATAAATTACAGTCCCCCGAAGTCGGGTTATTAAAGCTGAAAATTTTCAATTTTTCAGCTATTTGTTTTTGTATTTTGTATTCTGTGGAAATGTTAAAATATGCATATATCATTCGTTTAAAGTCAGATTGACATACGTTTTTTTCTAGAGTGTATTTTAGAGTTTGTACATTATTTTAAACTTTATTTTTGTCAATTTTGAGTTTATATTCAATGACTTACAGTCTCCCAAAGTCGAGATATCAAAGTTGGAAGTTTTTAGTTTTTCAACATTTTTGTATTTTGTGAAAATTTTAAAACATGCATATCTAATTCGTACGAAGTCGGATTGACATGCGGTTTTTCCCAACTTGTAGTTTAGAGTTTGTATATGAGTTAGAATATAATTTTGTCATTTTTGGTTTAATATTCAATGAATTACAGTCCCTCAAAGTTGAAAATTTTCAACTTTTCAACTATTTGTTTTTAACTTTCTATTATGTGAAAATGTTAAAACATGCGTATCTCATTTGTTTAAAGTTAAATTAACATATGATTTTTTCCAGAATGTAGTTTTGAGTTTTTACGATCATATACTATAATTTTGTCAATTTTGGGTTCATATTCAATAACTTACAGTCCTCCGAAGTCGGTATATCAATATGAAAATTTTCAAAGTTCAACCCACTAAGTAGCAAGTAATTACCAAAAAAATCCGTTTTTTCTGAGTTTTTCGGTTTTAAACCTACTTTACCTGGTTCCATCATACCCACTTTGATGTTTCCGGATTCTCCGATTCTAGACCATTTTACCCGGTACCGTATCTAAAACCGAATTATATACCGGTCCGATTTCCGATTCTACAAAATCCAGTTAACGAGTTCCAGGTTTGCCGGGTCGGGTTTAGACCCATTTTCATCCCTAGGCAAAGACTCAAGAGTCAAAGACTCAAGTTCCATTACTTTCTATCACATTTGCATCCATTACTTCCGAATACACGCTTGTCACCAATCGATATAAACCGACTGATCGTTGATAACAGCAAGACCTTTCAGGTAACGTCCCCCTTCTGTTTTGGTTTTCCATACGTATATGCCTTTTCCCCTGTAAAAGGTTTTCTATGTTTTTAAAATGTTCCTCTGATTTATATAGAATACGATTCTCTTATTTTCTTTCTCTTTGGTTAGTTATAATGCATACACATGTTTCTTTAGCCGTTGTTTTCAAATAAGGATAACATGCACGCCAGGTGTTTGTTAATTTGCCTCATATTTGTTAACCGGTTGTCTTACTGTGGTGCACACCAACTGTTTGCTCTTTTGTCTCCTTGTCTTGTAACCAAATGTGAAATTTGAATGCTATTCATGAACAGATGAATATTAGCAATTACTTCTTCCTTTGCTAGGGTGCACACCAACTGTTTGTTGTTTTGTCTCATGTCTACATTTGATTGTTTTTGTAGTTTGATTAAGTTATTCTAGTATTAGATAAAAAGAGGTCCACCTATATAACAAATCCTCCTGCCATGTCATATGTCATGTTCATTTACACCAATACCAAAAGCTAAATAAAATAATAAAACAAAAATTCAAGCTTAATAGGTGGGGACAACAGAAGTTGGATGGTTTTACAAATATACTAAATACTATTATTGTTCAATCATAAAGCCAATCATGTATTGCTATTGCAGTTTCCAATTCCTTTATTCACCTAAAACAAAAACACACTAGTTTCAATATAACCAATTTTAGGTCTAACCCAATTCATACGGTCCTTACAAAGAAAGTATTAATCATTTATTATCTGTAAAAAATGAAATAAATGATAAAACCCATGATATTGATTCATATATCCTAGAAGAGCTGAATGATTTCATTAGTTTAGATGAGAATCTTACTATTGTGTTATTGTTTCATAGTTTCAAAAACCTTTGTGTGTTTTCATTTTAACGTAAGTTTGTAAATTTTTCCCGGTTTTACTTTTTTTTTTTTTTTTTACAAATTCGTTGTCCAATTTTTTCCCCATATCCGGATCTCTGTTTGCAGCATTTACTGATTCCATTTACTTTGTGTATTTACAGAGAACAACGTTATCAAAAGGAAGAATCATGGATGGTATGTTGGTTCATTTTGTTTTTTGTTCATTACATATATTTATATTAATTTATAATTTGTATGATATATATGAGTGTTGTGACTTGTGATTGGAAATTTGGAATGAATGTTCAGTCGATTCCCAACCAACAATGGAGGAAACGGTTCTTGTTGGAGATGATCTGATGTTAGGACCACCATCACCACTCATTCCACCTGAAATTGCTTCACATGTCCTTGAAGGTGTTAATTTGTGTGATGGGATTTTGAGAAACCTTTTTTTGTGTAAGTTATTTATCTTCATTTCCCAATCAATTAAATTTTCCCATTCTTCATCACAACTTATTGTTTGTAGTTTCTTCTCATTTATATACTTTAGGTCTGCAAGTTAATGATATAGAGCCATTTTGTCAAGAAGAGATCGCTTTGTATCGAGAGTGTGCAGAAAAAAGGGTATACTTTTCCTTTCTTTTTTATTTTTTATTTTACATTTGCGATGATTTTGAATTGCAAAGATAAATATTAAATATGTTAGGATAAGGAACTAAGAAAACGTCTTCAAGATAGCGAGTATAGATTAGGGTTATCAATGCCCTTAGATCAAGCAAAAGAAAGAGCTTCTCAACTAGAGTCCGAAACCACAACTTTAGAGAGGTATGTTATTATTTATTGTTAATTGCTAATGATACTAGTTTAAATATTTTTTTTTTTTTTTTTTTTTTTTAATAACTTGCATTTGTAGGCGATTGATTCTTGCAAGTGGGATGGAAGGAGCAGAAGGGTTTCGCCAAAGATGGAGTTTACATGGTCGTCTTACAGATACCAAGTAATATTCAGTACCAATTTTATTAATTCTTGTACCCTATACTTATTTATTTGATATATTTAATTATTAAAGACCCACATATTATATATTTTCTGCAAATGGAAAATCAATCGGTCCATGACCATTAAAGACCTGAAAATCTCTAACATTAACAGTCGTGGTCCAACCAAGTACCACTTATCGTACATTCTTGATGATATTATTTATTTTAAAAAATTCTGTGATTTCATTGCACATGTTATGCAGGAAAAGAATGGAGGCATTAAAGGAAGGACTTGAAAATAGGAAAAAAGACGATGAACCAGTTGCAGTGAGTGTTAAAGGTTCAACAGGAAAAAGATGGTTGTTTTGGTGAAAGTAGGAAAGACTATTATTTGATTACCTAACCCAAAATAATTTAAAAAAACAAAACATGTTTATTTTTATTCAAATATTAAATGGTGTATGGGTAAAATGTTGGTTGAATGATTAAATAAACTTTTTTTTTTCTGGAGCAGGTTATGTATAAACTTTATTTTATTTTATTTATAATATTTTTGGATTGAAACAACAATTTCAATATGTAAAAATGGCCAATTTACCATTACGTTTAGAAATAATGCTAATTAAAAGTTTTAACAATTAAAAAATCGTCATAAACTGAAATTACAAATGAATAATAAAAAAAATAAGAGTGTACTACATAATTTAATAATATGTAGCAAAATCTGATTGTTTTGGGCGGAAGAAGACACGGGATGAACGACGAAAAAGGTATATGGGTCGGATTTTATCAGATCAGGATTTTAAAGTTATGATTTATTTGGAAGTGGAAAACCGGTTTTTACCAAAACCCAGATTGGGCCAGGAAATGTTTGATTTGGTATAATCGGGTTTGGATCATATACAAACAATTTTTTTTCAAACCAGATAATGGGATAATTAAGTTTTTTGGCTTTTCTTTTGCAAATTAGATTCAACTCCAACCAATATATACTTTTAAAACTACAAAATAAAAACATGGGTATAGGTAGAATACATTAAACTAGAAAATGAAATACAATTCTTATAATGCGGTTGAAGCTTCGTTCTCATGATCGCATACTTTATGAAATGCTAATCGTGTTAACGCCATTGTCAATTTGTCATACACAAGCAATGTGCCACCTTCACTAGTATTCGTTTGCATTAGATCAAAAAGTCCCTTAGGTGTTGTTTGTCTTTTCTGGGACAAAATGTCTGCAGTCTGCGGACCAAATCTGTAGACCTCTGCAGTAGAAAAGGTGGATCGAACGTCTGCAGTCTGAAAAAAAAAGACTGTTTGTTTTTTTAACATCTGCAAGCTACTAAAATAAACTGTTTTTTTTAACTTCAAAGTAAAATTTTTAATATTTTTATAACTTTGTTATAAATAATTAACAAATCTAGATCAACTTTTATGTATTATTGTACAAAAAACGAAAATAAAATGGTACTAATTAACGTATATATTTGATAAAAACCAATAATTTTGATGGTAAAGTTATGCATAAACATTGTAGTTAGAAATAAAAGAATTTGATACATAAACGGATGAAAATAAATTTCGATTTTTCCAATTAAATCAATTAAAAACTTACCATAAATACTTTTCCTAGAAATTGATGATACTGTATTAAATAATATTTTATAAAATTTAATAAAAAAAATATAAGAATATATTATGATGTTTTTCATATTTATATCTTCTGAACTGGTCCCAATACACTTCACATGGGTGTGGTTTCCGTCCTAAATTTTGTCTAAAATAAACTGTACAGACCAATTCGTTCTGGTTCAGTATCAGATCGGTCTAGGACTACGCTCATCTCTTCTTGAAAATGAATATAGTAAGAAAACCATGGAGGTTGAATGTTAAATATCTTTTTCCCTAAGAGAAACAGGGTAAAAGCCAACAATCATCTAAAGTAGTCCTTTGTGATGCAACACTAGGGTACACGGTGCATGTGACATCAATTATGATTGTTTAGTCAAAGCTTCATATTATGTTTGTTTTTTTCCGAGTACCTTTTTCTAACGTTGCAGCTTTTTAAGTACAAAAACTTATATATGCATTGAGCTTACACAGTTACAGTCTTACAGATGTAGATAAAACCCCACAGATAATATCGAATTAAAATGATATAAAGAGATTTATAGGGAATACTCTAGTAATTATTAAAAGCTAACCTTTAAATTCAAAGGACTAGCCTCCAAACAAAATGATATTAGAATCATTCATTATATTTTATGACAGTGTTAAAAGAATATATTTTATAGTAACGAATAATGATTGTTGCGTCATATTATGCAAGGTAGATATTCATTTCTGATCAAGATTATTTTTATGAGACATGGGAGACTTGTTTTTGCCACACATTCTGGTGATAAGAAAGTAAAAGAGAAATTAAATATAAAAAAAAGATAAAAAATTAGTTTGTATTAATTTTCGTCATTTTTAACATAAAAAAATATATTTTAAAATTTATACATTTATTTCTATAGACAAAAAGTGCTAAGTAAATTTTTTGCAAACATTATATATTATAGACAAAACTGCAAAAATGTCCCTGTGGTATGTAATTTTTTAGGATTTTAGTTCAAACCCTGACTTTTTTGGCTTCGTGGTCCTTTTGGCCATGTTTGTACGCATATTTGGTCCCTCGTAAAATTAAAATGACTGTAATGCCCTTCTGATATACTTTTTTTTTTTATGTTTTTTCTATTTAATTAAAATGAAAAAGAAAATAAATAATTAATTTGGGCCCACATTTCTCTCTCTCTCTCTCTCTCTCTCTCTCTCTC